GCTCAGTGCCTAGCGAGTGACCCAGTGATGCATGGAAGAACAAAACTCTTCGATATCAAACATCATTTCTTAAGAAAAGCCGTGAGTGCTGGTATAGTAGTGTTAGAGCATTTGTCGACTGAAGGAATGATCGCAGATACGATCAGACTGTACAAGAGAAGACCTTTTTAAACTATGTTCATAAATTCAATGAAGGTGGCAGGAGCATTACACAAGCCAAAAGGAAGAACCTTAAATTGCCAAACCTCATTCCAAATACAAAAAGCAGTTTTAGGTCTATCTTCCGGAGCAACTTCAACTTGCCAATATCCACGTTTTAAACTAACGGTAGAAAACCATTGAGCACCAAGAATCATATACAATATGTCTTCCTGCTGTGGCATTGGTGTTGAATCTTTAACTGTGACATCGTTTAGTTCACGATTGTTAACACAAAATTTAATTTCATCACCTTTTTTTTGAACAAGAACAACAGGAAAAGCCCAAGGACCATTACAAGGCTCTATTGCATTTTGTTGCTTCATTTCCTCCATAACAGAATCAACCTTATTCCTATAATGTAAAAGAATACGACAAGGAGCCTGTTTAATAGGAAGTGCATTTCCAACATTTATTTTATGTTGTTAAATTTTGCACTTTCCTAAATCAAAAGAATTTTCTGCACAAATATCTATATTCTTTAATGAAAGTTCTTCAAAACGAAATTTATTATTGACATCCAAAAATTTTGAAGATCTTTCAAAAAAATCTAAAACAAATCCTAGAAGTTTATTCAAAGAAAAACTAATTCTATTAATTGAAGCAACTTTATTACCTTTTAAAAATTTTTTATCAAGAAGATCTTTGAATTCAGTAAATAAACCAGACTTGATTAAGAAATCTAACTCTAAAATACATTCTTCGTCAATTTTAGCAAATACAACCTCTAAATTAACCTTAATATTAAAAAACCTTATTTCTGCAGTCTCAACAAAATCAAAATCAAATTTATCACCTGAAAGTGTAAAAATACAATAATAAACAGAAGAATTATTCGAAACAGTTACCTTCCCTTTATACAAAGAAAAATTAACAACCGTAATATCAGCAGCAGTATCAACTGTCATGATACATTTCTTCCTATTAACTTCTCTTCTAAGTGAAAGTTTTGGTTTAAAAGAACCAGAAGAATATAAAAATTAATTGAATTAATTTTTAGTTTTGACGAAATTTTTCTTCGGATGAACTACTTCAGATGAATTATTTCTATTATCTTTTTTTAAATTATTTATGAAATTCTTATTTTCATTGAAATTATTATTATTATACTTATCATTAAAATTATTTTTATTCTGACCTTCAAATGTAAAATCTTCAATCGATTCGAGCTCTAAAGCTCTCTGAGTTGCTAATTGAAGAAATTCAATTCTCTCTGTACGAAGAGAAAATTGTAACTTCAATTTTTTTAACCCAGAAATGAATTGCAAACCAGCAATTCTATCTCTTTCTTTGGCATGATTTTTTTAGATATTTCTCAAAATTTACTAACAAAAATATTCACTGCACGCGAAACGAACCACTTCTGGCACCAATGTACAATAAGACCAAAGAACAACTTCAGAAAATTTATTAATAAAGAAAATGTTTATTAAAGACTGCCAGCTATTTATGAAAACGAAAGAATACGTGCGGTCGACTCAAGTCTAAGTCAAAAACTGGAGATAAACAAACTTTCCCCTCGTTGCTATAAACAATCTAATCGTCGAGCAATCGTCGTTAACTAACAAACTGTCGTTAGTCTTGAAGTCATTAGATGGCGACATACAAATATTTTACCATATATATTTTTCACTAAACAAAACTTGTCATATAACCCAGGCTGGATCTACAGTCTTATTAGGTTCTAATGTTATTTTATTAAATGGGCATAAAATTTAATTCTTTGTATGGACCTGATTACGATTTCAGTTCCGGGACGGAGGTTATTACTCAATACGGCTCATATCTGCCAAGGCGTTACATTTTAGATATGGGCCGTATGAGATGTTAGTAGATAAGCAGGGCCGGTTCTGGATCACTCTGCAATACCGGCCAAGTCAAAAAAGTGAGTTCTGATCTGCACTAATTACCGACCGCGATAACTTTGACGATAAGTTACCGACTTACCGACCGTAATAAATTATCGACAGTGCGATGAATTACCGACTTACCGACCGTGATAAGTTATCGACACTGATGAATTATCGGCAGCGATTTTTTTTTACCGATCCTGATTGGTGATAAATTATCTTCAGCGATAATATAATTATATTAGCAAAAAAAATAACCGTAGAAAAGAAATGGCTGTGATGTATCTCAAGGATGTTAGATGATTGGGAAAAGGTTTTAGAGTAAAAACAATTTCTCGTTCAAGTTAATTTTTTTTTTTTTAAAAAAAAAATTATCATATATTTTTTCTATTTCATAAAACAATAATGATCCCTTGAATGATGTTTCCCAAGTAGCATTAATCTACCTGTAAAAATCAAAATTATTTCCTTTAATAACTTTTTTCATATAAGTAAAACTAGAAAAAGTAATCATAAAACAAGACTTACAGTATCATAACCATCATCATAGTCAGTGGAATCATCATCATAATTATCATCGTCATCAATTGTTGGAGGTGAAGGAGGTAGAAATTCTACCTCACTATCCTCCGATGACACAGTCGCTGGAGAAGGAGGTAGAACTTCTACCTCACTATCACTGTCTTCGACAGTGATGATTTCCTGGCTTAGAGATGTCGCCATGACGGAGATGTCTTCTTCTATCCTGAACTATATGACGTCACCAGGGAACGTTAGGCAGGTAGCCGTTACGCCACAAAGTGTAAGGGTAGCGTCTTCTATCCCTCCCGTCTCTTCCCAATGATCTCCAAGTGTCATTAGAATAATAATTTCTAGGAGGGTGATCGGTAGGTTTAACCAGGCCTCCGAGAAAATAAAAATGCACATCTTTTTCTAAAAAGTAATAACGATTATGATAGATTTTTTTCAAACTTAAAAAAGAAAAATCCCCCACTTGATAAATTATCATTCAACAATTCATGAAATTCACAATTACACTCAATAAATAATCATATTAATGCATAAAAATTAAAATAAACACACTTTTTATACTTGAATGAAGCAAAAGTCACTACTTACTTGATATGGTTTGATCAGTTTGACTGTCGAAAATGAACTAAATATTTTGTCCTATGCATCATACACCATGGCTAAATGTTTATATTTGTCAAAGAGGCCAATGGTAGAAAAATCATTTAACGATATTGATTTAAATCTATATAGAGGGGCCTTGATCACATCACTCAGCATCAAATAGAGAAAAGATAGAGAAAAGAATTTGACACTAAGAAAAAATTCTCACTAAAAAAAATTTATAAATGACATTTTTTTCTTTTTAATTATTAAAATAGTTTGTAAACGATCTCTACTATGGATAAATAATTTTAGACACATATTTTTTCGATTGGATTTTTAATTAAACGTGTATTCTTTGTCGCTCATGCCTCTGCTATCTTCCTTTCCTTTTTTCAGAAATAAAAATTACACATTTTTTATTTTATGTATTTGAATGGATAAATTTTTCTTTTTTACAATCAATACAATTAATTCTCAATGTTCTTGTATGATCTAATGACATGTAATGTTTGTAACATTTACGATGCAATAAGATATCCCTATCGAGTTGAAAATATTCCGGTAATTTATCCCAAATATCGTCGATGTATTCTGGAACAATCTTCAAGGAAAAATACTTTGGAATACAAGCAATACCTTCACTTGACATTTTTGTTATATTTTTCAATAAACAATACAATTTGAATGACTTCTCAAATAGGGTTTTTTCATGAAAATTTACCATATACCATGCTTTTAGAATTTTTACATTCTTTTCTGTACATTTTTTATTTTCTCCATTATGCACCTAACAATCTCTTAGATGATTCATATCCAGAACATGTAGCGAAGGACATCCAAGTTCATCCAAATTAATTACAACTTTTGAGTTGTCAATTAAACTTTCTAACCATTTTTTCTTTTCATCTCCTTTCACGTAAATACGGTCTCGATTTTTTAACAAGTATACGAAGAATGTATGGAAGTTCATCGTATGGTATTGATCCAGATTTCCATGGAATGCCATGATAATTACGTATCAACCACGAATTTATGCATTTATATTTTTCAGGTAAATATTCCCACTGACATGGCGGTTTAAAAATTATCACTGAAATGTCTTCCATACCATCACTATTATCTTGGATTGTAATAGTCGCCAATTCTTTCACTAAAAACTGATTATTTGGCTGCTTAAAACCTTGAACATCTAATATCATTTCCGTGATGCGCTCAAAAATTTGTACACATGCCAAAATGTAAAACCCAACGAAAAGTTTTTTGGTAAATCATCTATTCATATGTTTATCCCCACTTTAAAATTATAACATCTAATTTTATTGTTTGATCACTACAACGATTGTCTATAAAATTGTATTTTTTTTTTTCATTACATGTATAATTTTTGATAGTCTGAAATGTTCAACGAGAATGATGATAAAACATCATGCAAACCCCTCAAGATTTTTTCTTGGAAAATCAAGCAAAAAATTTACATGATCTCAGGGATGATTCACAGCCTTGACATGTTCTGGAAATTTTCAGCGAGAATGATAATGAAAAATTATGCATTCGATTTTTTCTTGGAAAATCGAGCAAGAATTTAAATGATCTCAGGGCTGATTCACAGCCTTGACATGTTTTTAAAGTTTTCAGCGGGGGATGATGATGAAACATCATGCAAACGTTTTTTTTTATGCATGCTTTAATTTATGATTGCATCACAAATTGAAACATTCTGGAATCATTGTTTTGGAGGGAATGAATTGTATTTATACCCATGCAACTCATGTTTAAAATCACTTATCAATTGAAACTGTAAGGAATACATCGTTATACATAATTCAAACGGTAAAAATGGATCTATCAAGAGTAAATAAAATTGCCAAGTGTGAGACGTACTTACCAACCAAAAAGATGGATACATTAAAACCGTTTAAAACGTATAAAAATACTGATTTAAAAGAACTTGAAACTGTGTATGGAACAAAAGTTGTGCCAACAGTTAGAAATAGCTACATGATATTTTCACCTCCAAGAACGGTGAAAATTTTGGAAAATTATAAAGAATTTGAAAAGTTGGTTGAGTTGGCCGCTGACAACAGATTATCATTGCTGTACCATGGTGGAGCTAACAATTCTTTTGAATTCATAGTTAATGATGAAATATAATCTAAAATTTTACAAGTCAAGAAAAAAAAATATAATGGATACAATTGATGAAATCTAAATCTTACGATAATCAATGTAATCTAAAAAAAATTTTCATGTTACAAAAATAATGAATGCAATAAATGAAAAAAAAAAAATTTCAAATTATTGTTCTTTTGATTTAAATATTTCCCCTCTCTACATTTCAAGAAAATCGTTATTTAATAGAAGTTAAGTTTGGTAATTGATATTCTCGAACTTTCAAGAAATTTCTTTGGATTATGGCACTCATTACAAGGTCATCCAAAATCCTATATAAATCTTTTTAAACACGCTTTTTTATCATTGTAATTCTAAAGTTTGTCTAGTATAGTCGAAAAAAATAAGTGCATTAAACTATTTTTCTGATTTAATTAAAATGATGGAGGTGGCTTATACTCTTCTACCATCTTCGAATCATGAATCTAGTGAAATCATTGATAAGTGGGTGCGAATTAGTAGTGACAATATTACTACATTAAACAGACATTTGCAATCGAGTGGTTTATCGGTTGGTGAAAAACAACGAATTCAATCGATAATTGCAGCACCCGCAACATTACATGAAAAGTTTATAAATCATTCAATCGTTGGAGGAAGCCTTCAATCAACAGAACAATTCATTCGGTGGAAAGATTTAGAAAATGTTTTCAGAAATCGAATTCGCACTAGTGTTGTCATGAACATGCAACATTTAAATTCACGAGACTTCTTATCGGTCGCTGAAAAGCTGATTACCGAAAAGTTGACAGATATAGTAACAAGTGAGGGAAATTTAAAAGTGAACTTTGTCCTTGCTTGTAAATTCAGTAATCAAACAAATGATGGAACAGTTGTAGAAATTAAGTACTTTAATGTTCAAAATGAAGCAATTTTGCCGTCAACAGACATAAAAAAACATTTTCTGAAAAATGTTGTTGACAAACTGCTAACAAAAGTCGAGGATTTCCAAGAACGAGATTCTGGTTGGTCACTTGTAGAAATTGAATATCTGCAAGTCAATATTAATCGTTCTCAACCTCAATTAGCTGGACAATCTACATTTATACCTCCACTAAAATTTATACAACAAAAAAAAGCAGTACTAAATATTAAAAACAACGATCAATGTTGTTTCTTTTGGGCTGTTACTGCAGCTCTTTATCCTGTTTTTGTAAATTCAACAAGAACAAATTCATATCCTGATTACAAAAGTGTGTTAAAATGTTAGGGTATCAACTGTCCCACAACCTTACATGATGTTCTAAAAATTGATAAACTCAACGATTTAGCAATAAACGTGTACGGTTTAGATGACTGTACGTATGGTTCAGATGATAATTGTGAAATTATTCCGTTATATTTACGTAAATATTATAAAGTAGATGAGTTATGTATTCACCTGTTAATGGTACAAAGTAGAGTAGAAGTAGGTGATGAAAATAATATTAATCCAGTTTTTCATTTTGTCTGATAAAGAATCTTTCAAGATTAGTTGGAAATCAAATTTCTAAAAATGCACACAAACTATTCTTATGTGATAGATGTTTAAATCACTCCAACATAGAAAAATCCTACAAAAATCATCAAAAAGATTGTATCAATATGAACGATACGCGAATTTCACTTCCGGAAAAAGGTGTTGAAATAAAATATAAAAATTTTCATTTCGAAGAGCCTGTGCCATTTGCTATCTATGCCGATCTTAAGAGTATTCTTGAACCTGATAATGAAGGTAATCAAAAGCATATTCCATGTAGTGTAGCCTATTATATGCACTGTACATATGACAATTTAAAATGTCGATTTAATCTTAAACGTGACGTTAATTGTATAAACTGGTTCATGACTGAGTTGAAAAAAATAGCTGAAACTGTCAAAACTTGCCTAGAAAACGTAGTACCAATTAAACCATTAACATTCCAACAGTTAAACGATTTTCGTAATGCAAAAATCTGTCACATTTGTAATAAATCATTTTTACATGATGGAACGAAAGTTCATGATCACTGTCACTTTACAGGCAATTATCGAGGCGCTGCTCATGTTAATCGTAATTTAAATTATCAAAATTTATGCATAATTCCAGTCATTTTTCATAACCTCTCAGGATATGACTCACATTTTTTTATTAAATCATTAGCTACATCATTTAAAGGTTATATGGAATTATTACCTGTCAATAAAGAAAAATACATAGCATTTACAAAAACAGTTGATCAGAAAATTTCCCACGAAAAAAGAAAAAAAGAAATATTTGATAAATTACGATTTATTGATTCTTTCCGATTCATGAGCAATAGTATTGAGAAACTTGCATCATTTTTGGATAATAACGCAAAATTAATTACCAAAAGTTTCTATCCCGAGCCAGATAAATTTCAGTTAGTAACTCAGTTGGGAAAAACTTGACGAACGACAACTACCTGACAAAACAAAATTCTATTCGAAACTCAACGATTCGGACATTTCCGATGACGATTACCAACATCCACGCCACGTTTGGGATCAATTCCAACTAAACACCCTCGGTGAATATTCAGATCTATATTTAAAAACAGACGTTCTTCTTTTAGCAGACATCTTTCAAAATTTTAGACAAAGTTGTATCTCTACTTTTGAGCTTGATCCGTTACATTACTACACTGCACCTGAATTAGCTTTTGATGCTATGTTGAAATATGAAAAAATTGAACTCGAACTCTTGGACAATGTGGAAATGCATAATTTGATAGAAAAAGGTATTAGAGGAGGAGTGGCACAGTGCTCAAATAGATATGCAAAAGCAAATAACCCGTATATGTGTAATGATTATAACCCCAATGAAAATATATCATATCTCATGTATTTTGATGTAAATAATTTGTATGGAGCAGCAATGAGTGAGTACCTACCAACTAGATCATTTGAATGGGTGAAAGATGACATCAATATTTTTAATATCTGTGAAATAATTAAAAATATCTCCAATGATTCTCCAGTTGGTTACATTTTCTAGGTCGATTTACAGTATCCAAAAATCTTACACGAGCATCATAAAAATTTGCCATTGTGTCCTGAACACCGTAAACCTCCAAACAGCAATAACAGCAAACTTATGACGACATTATTACCTAAACTTGAATATGTGATTCACTACAGAAATTTAAAACAATGTCTCGATTTAGGAATTTGTTCTGACTTGGTCTAAGGTACTCTATCGACGGCCTAACATTTTTCTCCCCACCGAATAATTAGATTGTCGAGGTCTCTCCTGCCAACTCATTTTCGCCAATTAGACAACTCTAATTAATTCCTAGAAGTATATATCCCTTCTCGAAGAGCCTAGAAGCTTCGAGAACGCAGAGTTTTCGAGAAACACGGACCGTAGTCTTCTGTATTCGCCGGTTACTGCAAGTATTCGTACGTAGCTCGTACTCGGACGACTCTTGGGCATCATCGGACCATGCCAACCCACAGACAACTCGTTGTAACAGTCAACTCGGTCCGTGTGTACTAGCAGAGAGTTCACGCAGTCGAACTCTCTAGTGAAAACCCAGACAACTCCTCAGACATGGACTAAATCACCAGTGAATCATCTATAGTGATGATTATGAACTCATCAGGCAATCTACCTCTTAAAAGACATCCTCAGGAAGCTCATGTTGGTCCGCATTAGCACCTTCTTACAAAAGGCACGAATGATGTCGGCTTCGACGCCTCACGGCCTCATGGACAGACACACACACAAGATCCATACACGAACAACTCGCTTGTGTCTGTGTGGCTGACGCCAACACAATGAAACTCAGACTACTCAAAAAAATCAGGCTACTCCTGGTGCAGAGACCAGTACAGGAAAATTTACAACTTTCCTGTGATCCTCTACTCATCAGTGAACTCTGTGTGAAATTTCCGTGAACTCAAGACTGTACAGACAATTCAAAGACTCTTTTATTGTTATTTTCCTCTTACTGTGATTTTAGTGTTTAATAAATCGTTAACTATTACTGTTAAATAGTGTCAGCCAACTCATTTACACTGTTCAAACGTCCCGACTGTTCTAGCATCCAAACATCCTAAAAAATACAGTTCACAAAGTCCCGACTTCTCACTCAGCCGACTCAAAGTCAGAACAGAATTATTGTAACCAAAATCCATAGGATCCTTAAATTTAATCAATCACCATGGATGAAGAAGTATGTAGATCTGAATACAGATTTACGAAAAAAATCTAAAAATGATTTTAAAAAGAATTTCTATAAATTAATGAATAATGCAGTTTACGGAAAAACAATGGAAAGCGTTCGGAAATATAAAGATGTAAAGTTAGTTACACAGTGGGAAGGTCGGTATGGTGCAAAAAATCTCATTGCTTCTCCAAAATTCCACAATAGTATAATTTTTGAAAATGACATGGTAATAATAGAAATGGAGCAAAAAAATATATATTTTAATAAGCCGATATACGTAGGATTTGTAGTTTTAGATCATTCAAAAATGTTTATTTATGACTTCCATTACAATTTAATTAAAAGACAATTTACAGACAATCAGGTAAAATTATTATACACAGATACAGATAGTTTGATTTATCAATTTCTCAATGCTGATATTTATGATTGCATCAAAGATAATATACATAAATTTGACACCTCAGACTATCCACCAAATAACCGTTTGAATATTCCATTAGTTAATGAAAAAATTGTAGGCCTTATAAAAGATGAGAATAAAGGTGAAAAAATGACGGAATTCATTGGTCTAAAAGCAAAAATGTACACATTCAAAGTTCAAAATAAAAAAGACAAATATAGTAAAGCAAAGGGTGTCAAAACTGCAACAATAAAATCTATAACATTTGATGATTACAAAAAATGCTTACTTAATCATGAAAAATTATGTAAAACGGAATATCATATAGTCAGCAAGAAACGTGAAGTACATACAATTAGTAGACAAATATTAGCATTAAGTTGGGAAGACAATAAAAGTTCTTTTAGCACAAACCATTGATACACTTCCTTGGGGTTATAATTTATATTAAATAGTGTGAATAAATTATTTTAAATATGAGGTTTATGTTAAAAAAAATAATTTGTAAGAAAAAAAATTTATTCAATAAAAAAAAAAAAATATTATTAATTATTTCCATTAGTTTGTATTGAACTGATCTTCTACAAATAATATGACAGAATGATCTTCATTCTTATTGGTCTTATTTTTTTAAATTTCTTTTAACATTCGTTTATTAATTTTATCAAGACGTTTAATTATTTTTTTTTCTCTTTTAATTTGTTGTTGTTCTTTATGAGTTAAAGATATCCATTTAATATTAGCAGCTTTATCTTTTGTATAACGTGGTAATTTTTGAGCATCACTATACATTTTGTCAGCCATTGTTTCTAGCTCTTCAGCTAAAGACATTTTGGCAGTCATTGTTTCTAACTCATCAATTAGAGACATTATAAATCTTTTATGTTAATCCAGCTATTGTGTGTTTTATCGAATCCTAACCACTTGACAAAAGCCTGATTACCACGTTTTTTCAGAACTTTTTCTACCAAATAAATATCAGGGTATTGAACCTTAGTCAATTCTTCTTGATAAAAACCTCCTTCAATCGGTTGATCTTGATAGTCGACAAGCTTGTAGGTTACTGGATCAGTGTTCAATACTTGACTTACATTAATGATTTCAGTTGTCCAATTAGGAGTGTATCCCTTCTTGAAGACATGTTTATATTTACTTATGCGCACTTTTTCACCAACCTTAAATTTCGTCTTTTTCATTTTTTGTTCAACTTCAATTTTATTATTGAAGATAGTATGACGTAATTGTTTCTCATTGGCTGAAGTAACATCAATCAGTTTCATTTTGATGGTTCTATGTTTGCTATTGTTATATGATGTCATCAATTTTGGTAAGATGTCTATCCACTGGTAATTACCTCGCAACGTAAATTGTTTTCACATTTGACTTTTTAACGTGCGATTGAATCGTTCACATATAGATGCCTTAAGATTACTAAATGTGGAATACATTTTGATATTATATTGTTTCATAAGTGCTTCAAATTCTTTATTGTAAAATTCTTTTTCTCTATCAACATGCAAAAATTTTGGCACCCCGTATATCAACATGTCGTCGTTAATAATTTTTTCTAACCGGTCTATGCAGCTCTTCAGTTATTATTTTTTTTTCCTTGTTCATGATGCTGTTGATCGAGATATTTCCGAATATTTTCTTCCAATTGTTTAATACTTTCAGCTCGTTTACGATTTGCTTTGTTCAGTAAACGTAATCGATCTGACTCATGCAGTTCAATTGTTTCATTCAATTCTTCTTTCAGACGTTTACCATGTTCTTGTGATGATTCAATATGTTTCTCTACTTGAACATTAATGATTTTGATTCTTTCTCTATTTTCTTCAACAATTCTTCTTAAATTTGCTACAGTTTCGCGTAACAGACGTAATTTTATTCCAATAAATTTTTTAAAAATTGTAATCTTTTTGCATCATTCAAATCTACTGGTTCAGCGAGATTACACAATCTCTTATGATCTATGTCAAACTGTTGATCCGCAGTTAATTTGAATCCTTTACCAGGAGGCCCACGGATATCACTTTTCACAATATCTTTTGCTACCTGTCGTCCAAAAACGACAACACTCATTTTTAAACCTTTCACTTCAAAAGTTCTTTAAAGAATGAGTAGCTGTGTAGGATACATTAGAATAATAAATGATTCCAGCTTTACGTAATTCCTCTGAAATTAATATAATTTCGTTAGTATGACTAAAATTTCCAGCAGTTTAAGATGCAATAAGTAAACGAAGTCGATCTACAAGTTTATTGGGATCATCCCAATAAATATAATCGGTAGGATGATTTTGTTTATGTTCAATCATATGTTGTGGTGAACTTTCTCCACTTCTTGGTATATATTTACTGATTATGTCGGAGAATTTTTTTAAATTCTTGTTTACTCTGATACTTCTGTCAGGAAGATAATGCTTCCGACAGGCGTTTGTCATACTGATAATTCTGCCATACATGTTTCCATCTTCTTTCGTTATTTTTTATTGATCAGGTGAATTCATAAATAATAATTCCAATAGACCAGAAGTAGTATTGTATTTTTTATCACTAATATAAATAAGATTATTGTCGAACCTGACTTCAGAATTACCCGTCACCAGTCGATTACCGTTTAACTTTCGTATGCCAAACTTTGTATCTAATTCTTTGGACAAGAGCTTAGAATCGAACATCTTTAAATACCTTACCACAGGTATGCCTTTAATAGGAGTTCTTTGATAGGTAATTGTTGCTGTTGTATAAGAATCATCATCAGTTATTTCATAATCAAGTATAAGGCTTTCTTGTTTGCTTTCAACTTCTTCTTTAGGCTCTTCTTTAGGTTTTTCTTTTTTTATTTTTATTTCTTGAGGTTCCTCCTTGATAAGTGTTTTATCAGCTATTTGTTTAAGAGGAGTCACCATAGGTTTAAATATTTCGCTCATGGTTTGTTGAGTCATATCTCTTCCAAGTTTAATCAACTTATGCTTTTGGCGTATTGCATCACTAGCTTTCGCTATTTGTGGAATATCTTTTTTTCTTGTTGCACCTTCGTAGTTTTCATGTTGACACTTTGACAATCACATAAATAATGTACAATTTAATATATTCACGGTGAATTTATACTTATGAAGCAATCAAATCCTCTTCTATACCGCCCATTATTAAGATCACTGTCTTTATTAATTACCAAGAAGCCATATTTATCATTATTCCAGCACATTGAACATATATCTCGAAAATGAGAATAAGTCATGTCAGTATTTACATAATCATCGTAAATGTGTTTTAGATTCATGTCATCTTGCCTGAAAAGATCAAGAAAGTTTGTATTGTCACGTACCAAATATTTTGGGATTCGTACATAAGTTTGACAAAGATAAAAGCAGTTAATTTCTCTATGTCATCCCATACAAAAATAGATTTGCATATTATCTTGTTTTTCGCATGCTACGTCATCGAAAATCATAATTGAGTTGGGTTTTGCTTCATCCGGTTTTACCACTTCCTCATGCTCATTAAAAGCATAAAATTTAATACCTTCAATTGGTTCAATTATTTTTTTTAAAAACTGATATTTAGGTTAGTTGAATGATTTTGAATGCAAATAAATATTTTCAAATCGTAGGCTATTTGGATGTACAAATAAGTGCTAAAAGAGTATTTGTCTTTCCACAATTTAATGGACCACAAATAACACCGCGGACACTATTTGGTAAAAGTTGTCCGTGACGTTTGATATTTGTGTCTTTGATAGGTCAAAGTTAATTACAGGCAACTTAATGTCTTGTTGATTGAACTTCATCTTGATGTAGAATAACATTCTAGCTATATTTACATCTTTTATAGGTGTCGAGTTAGTCGTTCTTGAACAATGATAGTGCAAAGACGTATCAAAAAACGAGGTGCTGGTATTGTTAACACACAAACAAATTGCTTCAAATGCTGGCATTGCAAAAGCAATTAATGATGCTAGAGACGCCAAACGTCAATTAAAAAAAGCTAAACGACATAACGAGGAAATGGAAACAATAGCTTTGGGTAAAGGTCCACATCTAAAACCGCACAAGAAAGGATTAGGATTGCATTTGAAACT